CACTTATGAATTAAGTGATCTCTAGAAAAGTAGTCTGAAGATGACAGAATTATTAATGCATGCATAAAAGTGAGTGATGTGTAACTTGAGAAATGTTAAGGAGACTCTCTTAACAGTATAACTCTTCATGAACTCACTGTAACCTCATGTTTTTAACATAATATTTTACAATGTTGACATAAGAATTATCGATAAACTGTAAAATGATAAATAATTCATAAAAATTATATTTTGAAATAATATATTTAACATTTCTCCTTATACTTAAAAGCGAGAGATGTGTACCTTATTACATGTATTTATTTATCAATGTCGCTCACACGTATTATAACTGACAAGATAAGAGTGTAGCGCGACAATGTGATCAATCACATTGAAATTTTTAACACGTCATGATATCACATTACACATTTTTTTAGGGAATAACTCACTTTTCATTGGTCTTTCTGTTTTTCTGTTTCTGCGATTTTCTTAATTCTAATGGGCCATGGCCCATGATGGGCCCCTGAATCACGAACTTCTCTGAGTTTTTGTCAATGTGGAGTTTGATAATTTCACCCCAAGAGACACGTTGACTGGTTTCCTGGGAAAACGATTTTTAATTTATTTTATTGTACAAGTGGACATGGAATCCCGCCAATTATATAACGGCTTAAGGATAACGTTTCTGTTATGAATTTCTTTATTCACATCACCGGAGAAACGGACAAAGTAAGTATTTTTCCTACTTCGTAGCCTTTGCATTTTTTTCTTCTTCAGCTTATTCCGTGACGATGACCGTGACCGTGACCTATTTATTTTAGTTAAGATTATTGAATAAATTTTCATAATATTAAACTAATATTATATTATTCACATAATCAGACAAAAAATACGTCACGGCTATGAATATGGAATAAGCTTTAACTAGTATTGCATTAGTTACAATTGCGCTTTCATGTCACCTGTATTCGAATCTTTCTTTCATACAATATAATTTAGAGAACTTTAAAGAAAATCTTCCGATACTGTTTATTAAAAAAAAAAAAAAAAACCACATTTTATACTAAAAAGTCAATCATGGTACTATTCACTTTATCATTTATTTTGTTCTTATCGTTAAAACTCAAAATTTTCAAATCATTTTCATTAATTTTCCTTATAATTTAACATAGAAAATTACTTGTATTTTAAGAAGAAAAAAAAAATAATAATGTTTGAAGTTGGGCCTATATCCACAACAATTTTTTGGGCTAAGGATATGAGAGTAGCGTCTCAATGAGCGTTTAACTGAAGCCCATATGAAAATAAAAACAACAAAAAGTATATAAATAAAATTCCGTTGCCGGGACTTGAACCCGGGTCTTTCGGGTGAGAGCCGAATATCCTGACCAACTAGACTACAACGGATTCGTTGTTTAAGAAATGTTAATTTCCATATGTTGAGTTGAAGCCAACAGATAACAAAGAAAACTTAGACATAAGTCTCCCAGAAATGACGGCGAGGGTTTAAGCAGACGCGTCAAACTCTCCAATGGAGACCCTCAAACACTTCGGCATCGGCTTCTCCACTCCCCGCCTCCTCCTTTTCCGCCACCACCTGCTTCGCCAGCAAATGGGCCGAGCGCCTCCTCGCCGACTTCCAATTCCTCGCCGACTCATCCTCAGACCACCATTCCCTCTCCTCCACCACCGCCACTCTCGCTCCTTCCCACCTGCCTCCCGCAATTTCTTCCCCCGAGCGCCACGTGTCCATCCCCATCGACTTCTACCAGGTGCTGGGCGCCCAGCAGCATTTCCTCGGGGACGGTATAAGGAGGGCGTACGAGGCTAGGACTTCCAAGCCGCCTCAGTACGGCTTCACCCAGGAGGCGCTGTTCAGCCGGAGGCAGATTCTTCTAGCCGCTTGCGAAACCCTAGCCGACCCCGCCCTCAGAAGAGAGTACAATCAGGGCCTTGCCGAAGACGAAGATGGAACCATCATCACTCAAGTTCCTTGGGATAAGGTAATTGTGTGGTTTCACTTCATTGTGTTCTGTTTGGTTGCTGAGAAGAAATTAAGAAAACGTGGTATTGAATTCTGATTCTAGTTAGTTTTATCTACATTACTACGATTTCCAAGTGAAAATTGATTGAAAATAAAGGAAAATTTGGAGTTAAAATTAAATTTTTTCATTGGCTTTTTTCCGCGTTACTGCGATGGATTAGTAAACAAACAGAGAGCGGCTGTATTTTATCGTGTTAAGCTATTTGTAGGTTCCTGGAGCTCTGTGCGTGCTGCAAGAAGCTGGGAAGACTGAGCTGGTTCTTCAAATTGGGGAGAGTTTGCTAAGAGAGAGGCTGCCCAAGTCGTTCAAACAAGATGTCGTTTTGGTCATGGCACTTGCTTACGTTGACATGTCGAGGGATGCAATGGAATTGTCCCCGCCTGATTTTGTTCGGGGTTGTGAAGTGCTTGAGAGGGCTTTGAAACTCTTGCAGGTAATAGAGTCCTCATAATGCAATGTCTTGTTTGTTTCAGTTGTATTACAAATTTTGATGCTTCAGACTGATCTTCAACATGCAGGAGGAAGGTGCGAGTAGCCTTGCACCTGATCTTCAATCGCAAATTGACGAGACACTGGAAGAGATCACCCCACGTTGCATTTTGGAACTTCTAGCTTTACCCCTCAGGATTGAGTACCGATCAAGAAGGGAAGAGGGCCTCTATGGTGTGCGCAACAGTACTGTGGTCTGTTGGAGGTGGGGGAGCAGTTGCAATTGCGGGAGGTTTCACTACGTGAAAATTTCATGAACGAGGCCTTCTTACATATGACAGCAACTGAGCAGGTAGCTATTCCTGTGAATTCCTTCCCATGCCCGTACCGTGTGCTTTCCACTCAATTGTCTAATCTCTTTGTTGGTTTGTTCTTTTTTTCTCTCTAAAGGTTGATTTATTTGTCGCAACCCCAAGTAATATCCCAGCAGAAAGCTTTGAAGTTTATGGAGTGGCACTTGCGCTTGTTGCTCAAGCCTTCATTGCTAAGCAGCCTCATCATGTTCAAGATGCTGATAACCTATTCCACAAACTTCAGCAATCTAAAGTAACAGCTGTAGGACATTCTGTCGATGTAGTGAGGTATACTTTGCTTTAGAGAGGGGTCTCTGTTCACTTCTTCTCGGGGATCTTGATTAGTGTCGCTCATGGTTGGGCCTTGACAATGATAATTCACCATATAGAAATCCATCTGTTGTAGAATTTGTCTTGGAGAACTCAAGGGCTGAAGATGAAAATGATCTTCCTGGACTTTGTAAGCTGTTGGAGACGTGGTTGATGGAGGTGGTACTCCCCAGATTTAGAGACACAAAAGATATAGAGTTCAGACTTGGAGATTACTATGACGATCCTATAGTCTTGAGATGCTTAGAGAGGCAGGACGGAACTAATGGTTCGCCCTTAGCTGCCGCTGCTGCCATAGTGAATATTGGAGCTGAGGCTACTGCAGTTCTTGGTAATTTCAAGGCGAGTGCAATTCAGGCATTGCAGAAGGTGTTTCCTCCAGATCACAGGGATGAGATTCTTACACCTCAAGAAGATAACGAAATGAATTATCCATTTCTTCCTGTGGAAAATGGAGAGCCTCTGGAAGAATCTGATAGAGATGAATCTGTCCATGTAGGTGAGGTTTCTGGAAGAAATGCTTCTATTGGAATATGCAAGAAGAATTGATGACTGACAAAATCAAAGACGCAACTGTTAAGATTATGTTTGCTGGTGTGGTAATTGGACTGACGTTGATTGGATTGAGGTATTTACCCACAAGGAGGAGCTCATCCAACCTGCATAGAGAACTTAGCTCAGCGACTGCATCTGATGTCACAAGTGCAGGTATGATTTTAACCGTGCATTAGAGTATTAATAAAATGATTAACAAAGCCTTATTTTCGTCAAGTTATGAAACATGAAAAGTACTTATGATATCTTTGCATTTTCCACTTCAATGTGCTTGATGACATGTTATTTCACTCAACCAGAAAAGCCGGTGGTAGTATTTCGCTAGCTATTTGTCAAAGTGCTATGATGAATCTTTCAATAGCCAGTAGTACCTGGGATATTTCTTCCTTTGAGTCAGTCCATTTCACTTCGTAAGCTTGCCGCTTTGCTCTTGATGCAAGGGGATGAAGATTAATTCATATAACCATGCCAGGGCTACCAGGAGATGAAAAATCTGCGGGAAATACCCAAAATGGATGCAAGAATAGCTGAAGGTCTTGTTCGCAAATGGCAGAACATAAAATCTCAGGCCTTCGGACCTAATCATTCTCTGGAAAAATTATCTGAGGTAGGGAATTCTTTAGTTGTTGTGGTTGAATAAAGATGTCATTGAGCTAGTCACCAGTTTTGATGCATGTCCTGACATTGTTAAAACTGCCAGGTTTTGGATGGTGAGATGTTGAAGATATGGACAGATCGTGCAACCGAGATTGCACAGCTTAACTGGTCCTATGAATACACCCTGTTGAACTTGAGCATCGACAGTATGACTGTATCGCTAGACGGGCAGCGTGCTGTGGTGGAAGCAACTCTTGAAGAGATGGCCCAGTTAACTGATGTGCTCCATCCGGAGCACAATAACTCAAACAGCAGAGCGTATACCACAAGATACGAGATGTCTTGTTCGAGCTTGGGATGGAAGATCAGTGAAGGAGCCGTCCTCCAATCATAAAAAAAAACGTTGTAAAGTACGCTGACGCTCTTTTGTAAATGCTGTCTTGTTTTTCTATTTAAGTTTATTCTTTGTAAGTTTTACGCTCTCTGGGTGCGATTGGCAAGATTTACGTGTTGTTACCAGTCCACGCGTATAAAACAAGAGATATATCATATAAATAAAGAATAGAAGAATAAGTTCATTGGTAAAATGTTTGAGTTCATATAATCAGTCAAAATTAGTACAAGTTTGTCGACCTGGCCACAGAAGGGGACATTTCTTCCTAGTCCGGCCTGGTTGGGGAGCCGTATTATGTTTAACACGAAAACAGAGAGATATAACCATTGTTTCTGTGCCTGCAATTTACTGCCGCAACCATAGATTAACAGTGGAAGGAATCAAAGAACCATAGTACAGCTGCAGATTTCCGTTTAGTTTACAATGCGCATCTCCACTCCAGCTGAGCTGGTGCGAGACATCATATTCTGTACAAAATATTTCTACGAGTTAGCTTCGTCTAACTGGTGCCGAATTCTACAGAGTAGACATGGAATCTCTCCAAATGGAGGATTTCTTGTTTATAGGGTGAGATAAGAAGCTGAGTCCGAGTATCTCCTTGGGAGCATCGAGTGGTGCAACAAGGTCAACCAGCTTCGCAACAAGGGTGGCGCTCTCCCGGATGTGCCCCATGTCCATTGTGCTCGTCCATATCAAGTTTGCCAACTGCAGACTCCTCTGCTTTGTGTTTAGCCTAATCCCCCACTTCTGGTAGAGCCTTTCTTTTTCCTTTGTCGATGCAAACCTCTTCGGCACTTTCTTGGCTAACATTTCTCTCTCTCGCTTAAGAGCCTTCATGCTGTTTCAGATTACAAATTAAGAAAAACAAAATTTAGGTTAGAGATCTCCCGCTTTAACGCGGTTAGGCTCACAGTATCAAAATTTCAAATGTGTGTTTCGTGCTGTTGAAATGATCCGAAATAACTACCTTCCAGCCTGTGTGGGAGCTTGGCGGGATTTTAGATTGCTTCCTTCAGAGAAGGTGTCCTTGAGAATCGTCAACCTTCGTAGCTCTACCTCCAAGTAGAGAAAATCAGACGGATCACCATTGTAAAGAATGAAGAAATGTGTCCTGTGAACCAATGGCACAAAGCAAGCCTCCCACAGCTGGATTATTAGTCCCCTCTGTGTCTCGAAATCAAGGCGCCAATTAGAAGGGGTTCTCAAAGGATGTTCTGCACGATTGTGCCTCCTCCGTCCTGCTCCTCTTTGTGCCTGTCACCAATAATCACGCATGATTAAAGTTCGTGTCTTCGAAATATATGTTCATTAATTACTAACCAACCAGTAATCACCATTGTGTTAGAGAGAGAGAGAGAGGATAAGAAAGAATGAGGGAGGCTGTTACCTCGTACTTGTCTTCCTTGCGTTCATTGGCGAAATTGAGAACGCTCATATTATCCTCTACGTCAGACTCCGAGACATTGGGGATAACTTTCCAAGCCACTGGAGCACTCAAAACTGACTCTAATTGAGAACTAGCTCTGGTTGAGCTTCCAATTTCGGAACCTTGCTTCGATTTATGAAATAGCTTCCAACGCAAACCTTTTGAACTTCTAGGCCAGCCTTCAGAGATGTCCTGTGCACTAGCTGCCTCCGTGCTTTCCTCTGCCTCTACGTGAACGCTCAAAATAGAATCTTGATCAGAATCTCTTCTTGGTAACTTTCCGGCATAGCCACCATACTTGGATCGAGAGTTCTCCCCCTGATGGACTTTTGGTTTCCTATGAGGAAATTCCTGCTGTGTAATAACCTCTGTGTCCGGCTGATCTCTGGCACCATCTAGGACCATTGGAACACTCGCAACAGAAGCTGGAAAATCTTCCCTAGATATACTTCTACTGTGGGCACCTTGCCTTGATCTGGAAGGTCTCCGTTGGAAACCTTCAGCAGGTGTTGTGTTCTCGTTTAGTTCTGCCTCATGCAATGCGAAAGAAGATGGACTCATGATAACCGCCCTGCAACTTCGACTTCTAGACAAATTCATACTTGCAGTGCTAGATTCAGAGGAAGAAGGAGATTGTTCCGTTGGGGCAAGATTAACAAGGTTGTTAATTGTCCTTTGCATTTCCTGAATCTTTTTCCGCATCGCTTCATACTCTGCATTAACGTTATTCAACTCCTTATCTCCTGTCTGCTGCATGGGAGCGGTCGCGGCTAAGTTTTCTCCATTTTCTTCAGAACCGCTTAAAATCAAATCAAAAGTGTTCTGGTCCATGCTTGATATGCATCTAATTTCCTTGCAGCTATCTTCAGATTCCGCACGAGATGCTTCTGCAATAACTTCAGATTCTGCTTCACTTCTTTGTGCAATAACTTCAGATTCTCCTCGATTTCTTTGTGCAATATCTTCAGATTCTGTTGGACATCTTTGTGCAATATCTTCTGGTTCTGAATGAGATCTTCCTGCAATATCTTCAGATTCCGTCGGTTGTGTATTATCTTCAGGTTCTGCCTGAGATCTTTGTGCAGTATCTTCACATTCTGCGTGAGATATTTGTGCAATATCTTCAAATTCGGCATGAGATCTTTCCGCAACATGTGCAGACTCTGCAAGATCCTCCCAATCCGGCAATGAATCAAGCCCAACAAACTCTGGAGCACTACTGTCCAGCAGAAAGTTTTCTTCAGAGCTCGCAGAAAGCTGACGGTTGTGCTTGTAGGAACCAGTAAAACTAGGTATATCAGTAATATCACATGCGTTGTCTGCTTTTACACCCACGGATAATGACTCAGCTCCTGAATTTTCACCTATTCTTGGAACTTGGCTGTCTCCAGTTGATTCTAGCAAATTCTGAACCCGAGATTGAGCAAGATCACGTTGCTGAGTCAGTTCTTTGATCTCCTTATCCATCTGCATAAATTTCAGATTCAATAAGAAGATTAGGAAAGGAGAAAGTGTCATGTGCAATTATGTGTATGTATGAGTCATAGGAGTCTCATCACCTGTTCAAGCAGAAGTTCTTTCTCTTGCATTGACTTTGATGCTAAGCTCCTCAACGCGTCTTCCATTTTCGCTAGTTCTTTCTGAAGTTGCTTTACCAACGCCTTATCTGATCTTACTACGTTGACCTTTGCATTAGTAGTCACCTCTTTCGCACAACTTGCAAAGAAGAGAGTGTTTTTCGATTGCTCAACGTGACTTCGTGCAGGGCTCAGTGTGCAAATGATGGCTGTCCTGGCATTGCCTCCCAACGAGTTTTGCAGTATTCTTGTTAGCTTCGAATCTCTATAAGGTACGTGTCCATTCTTTCCCTTGCTGCATCCATTCACGACATTAAATTGATTAAGAAAACATAAAATGGTTAAACAAGGTTAGATAAGAAAAATCAAGTTTTCATCGGCTGGTACAAACCACCCCGAAGAAGAAAATAATTTGCCACATCGTCAATAGACATGACGCCGAGTGTACATTTATATAAAATAAGCCCTTGTCTGGAGTATAGGGAAAAAATATTGAACCTTAGTTTGCGAATTACAGTTCCCAGGGTCAGTAAGCTTCGATTTATGTGGCAGCCTTCTTTCAATCTCATACCAGCTGATAACGCTTGAGAAACACGCTCACTGCCCGCAAGATCAACAAAATTCTGCGCAGAGAGTCAAATTTTTTACTGCTAATAATACCATTGTATAAGATCCTCATGAAGGAAATGTTTCTTCGCAAGGAAAGATAAGTACTTCCTTACCACAGTAGCTGCAAGTGTGCTTGAACTTTGAATGCCTAGGTATTCTCGAGCGGAACTTTCAATTGTCTGTTGGATCCGTCAATTCAAAAAAAAAAAAAAAAAAAAAACATTTACAAACAAGTTGTTAAGTCAAAATGGAATGTAAATGCTTTAGTGACAAGCATACCAGTCGCAAAATCTGATGAGATCTTGAGCTAGTTTCGTTCAGAGAGGTCTCTCCGATCTTCCTCTGAGCTGCAAGAATCAAGGACCAATATAAGAGTATATTTTCCGTCTGTGAAAATAAAACTAACACGAATACCATGTAATCCTGTGAGACAAACATAATGCAAGTGTGGTTACCTTCACAGACGGAAAGAAGCTCCTCTAGGTGGTTCCGGTCTCTCAAAATCTCTTCTGAAAGTTTCTCGACAACAGTACCTTTCTGTCGGAGTGGCATTATTAGAAAACCTTCTACTAATTCATCTGAATTATACACGTTAAAAATAGAATACATCATTCACCTCTGGATCGTCTAGGAGCCTAAGTTGAGCAATCTCGGAGCTGAGGAGGTCTCTGACAGCTTCGTTGTAGATCTCCATGGCGGAGAACTTCAACACAAATTCCCTATCACTATGCTGAAACACAACAAATGGTTTAAGTTATGTCGGTGTCCGAAAAAACATAGTCAGCTTGATATAATTTGGAATTGAAGACTCAAAATACATCACTTACTTTCTCAATGTAGTCGTATATGTCTGCAACTGCATAATCTGTGATTCCTTTCATAGTGTATGTTTTTCCACTGCTTGTTTGTCCATAGGCAAAAATGGTTGCTGAACACGTATATATCGCCGAAACAAATGAGATTTTAGTCAGAAATATCCAAAAACGAGGATAATAAGGAGATTACTCACAATTGATGCCGTTGATGACCGAAAGCGCAACCTCTTTAGCTCCCTCATCATACACCTTCGTCGTGGGACAGTCCCACCCAAATACTCTGTCTATCCCCAAAGGATAGGGAAACAAAGAGAAAGGACATCAAAACAGATTCAAAGTTTTCAAATATAATGAAAAATTACTTCATAAAATGACGGAAAAGAAGAGAGAGTTGTTATTGACGCTAAAAAAAAATCATTTACTCTTCCCTGCTTTATTTTTCACATTGTGAGGAAGGCCAATACAGTTCTCTTTTCTTCCCTAGCAAGAAATATCAATTCTGGACCGCTAATAACAATTCCTGAAAGAAAATTTTCAATATTAAACAAGAATGGACATGCATGTCGTATACCAAAACCATAAGCAGAGGGAGACATGGGGCGATCATGATGGCTGTTGTTGTACATGACGGTGTTGTCCTTGACGCACCAATCGGAAACATCGTTCTTTGCCTTCTCCTTGTCGTTCAACGGCCTCAGCCGAACCGAAACGAGGATTTTCTCCTCCACAGACATCGATGCCTCAACTTCTCCTCTTTTCCTACCGAAAACCCAGGTTGCTTCACGCACAAACAAAACCCGCAAAAGCGTCAAACTTCCCCAATTTCGCTCTCCCACATGCATGTACGTGAGAGAGTGCTGCCACAGCGGTCAAATCATTTGAGAGCGAAATTCACTGATGAAATTCTTCACCGTTCGCAATGCGGGCCGCCATTCAAATTCCTTCGCTCAAATCCCACAAATCCCTCAATGCAGGTCGAACGAACAAAAAGTTCAAACTTGATAAATAAATGGCATAAATTCCCCTGAGCAGTTCCACATCCAAATCGAAGGCGCAATTCAACCAAATCCAACCACAACGACAACAGATACGAGGCAATGTAGACAAACTGAAAGAAATCCGATTATACGAAACAAATAATGTCTATATTTTATTTTTCCTTTTCTTTTTACCACGGTTCGAAACCGTAACAAAAAAACACGAAAGAAAGGGAAAGACGGAACGGCCAAAACGTCGGCGGCGACGATGTCAAAATTTTATGGAAAGTGGAGAGAAATTTGGCCGAACCGTGAGAACCAGGAGGGTTCTGGCGATGCGGGAAATGAAGGAATTAGGAACGGTTGGCGAAGACCGTTGCCGTCCCCTCTCTCTCTCTCGCTCTTATTTGGATTGCTGGCTGCCTCTGATATACAACTACCGCGGCAAATTTCCTAAAAACTAATAAACTTACTATTTTGACCTCCAGCTTGCCAAGTATTAACGAGCATAACAGAGTAGACGTACTTATCTTGATCAACTAAGTTTATAGTTTATTAATTAATGTTAAATATTGTGTAATTGAAGCTTAATCAACTAATTTTATACCATTGACATAATGAACCAATAAATACGTCATCAGTTACAGAGTGGCTTCATGTCACTCGAATTTGGATCTCTCTTCCATACAGTATAATTTGAAATAGAAGATTACTTGTATTTTAAGAATAAAAAAAAAAACTTGACAATGTTTGAAGTTGGGCCTATATCCACAACATTTTTTTGGGCTAGAGTAATGAGATCAGCGTTTCAAATGAGCCTTTAACTGAAGCCCATATGAAATAAAAACCACAAAAAGAAATCCGTTGCCGGGACTTGAACCCGGGTCTTTTGGGTGAGAGCCAACTACACTACAACTGATTTGTCGTTCACATCATTGAAATAAAGCATTATAAACTCCTCTTTAGTTGAAGCCAACAGATTACGCGAGAAGGAAACATGGATATAAGTCTCCCAGAAATGACTGCCAGGGTTTAAGCAGAGGCATCAAACTCTCCAATGGAGACCCTCAAACACTTCGGCATCGGCTTCTCCACTCCCCGCCTCCTCCCTTTCCGCCACCACCGGAAACCCCAAAAGCTCCCTCCCACTATCTGCTTCGCCAGCAAATGGGCCGAGCGCCTCCTCGCCGACTTCCAATTCCTCGGCGACTCCTCCTCCTCCTCCTCAGACCACCATTCCCTCTCCTCCGCCACCTCCACTCTCGCTCCTCCCCACTTGCCTCCCGCAATTTCTTCCCCTGAGCGCCACGTGTCCATCCCCATCGATTTCTACCAGGTGCTGGGCGCCCAACAGCATTTCCTTGGGGACGGTATAAGGAGGGCGTACGAGGCTAGGGCTTCCAAGCCGCCTCAGTACGGCTTCACCCAGGAGGCGCTGTTCAGCCGGAGGCAGATCCTTCTAGCCGCTTGCGAAACCCTAGCCGACCCCGCCTCCAGAAGAGAGTACAACCAGAGCCTTTCCGAAGACGAAGATGGAACCATCATCACTCAAGTTCCTTGGGATAAGGTAATTGTGTGGTTTCAATTCATTGTATTCTGTTTGGTTGCTGAGAAAAATGAGAGGAAAGTAATGAATTTGTTGAGAATTTAAAAAATGTGGTATTGAATTCTGATTCTAGTTAGTTTTATCTGCATTACTACGATTTCCAAGTGAAAATTGAGAGAAAATAATGGAAAATTTGGTATTAAAATTTAATTTTTTCAATGGCTTTTGTCCGCATTACTGCGTTTGATCAGTAAACGAACAGAATTCGGCTGTATTTTATCGTGTTGAGCTATTTGTAGGTTCCTGGAGCTCTGTGCGTGCTGCAAGAAGCTGGGAAGACTGAGCTGGTTCTTCAAATTGGGGAGAGTTTGCTAAGAGAGAGGCTGCCCAAGTCGTTCAAGCAAGATGTCGTTTTGGTCATGGCACTTGCTTACGTTGACATGTCAAGGGATGCAATGGAATTGTCCCCGCCTGATTTTATTCGGGGTTGTGAAGTGCTTGAGAGGGCTTTGAAACTCTTGCAGGTAATGGAGTCCTCATAAGCAATATCTTGTTTGTTTCAGTTGTAGTAAATATTTTGATCCGTAAGACTGATCTTCAACATGCAGGAGGAAGGTGCGAGTAGCCTTGCACCTGATCTTCAATCGCAAATTGACGAGACACTGGAAGAGATCACCCCACGTTGCATTTTGGAACTTCTAGCTTTACCCCTTGGGGATGAGTACCAATCAAGAAGGGAAGAGGGCCTCCATGGTGTGCGCAACATACTGTGGTCTGTTGGAGGTGGGGGAGCAGTTGCAATTGCTGGAGGTTTCACTCGTGAAAATTTCATGAACGAGGCCTTCTTACATATGACTGCAACGGAGCAGGTAGCTATTCCTGTGAATTCCTTCCCATGCCCCTACTGTGTGCTGTCCACGCAATTGTCTAATCTCTTTGTTGGTTTGTTCTTTTTTTCTTCTAAAGGTTGATTTATTTGTTGCAACCCCAAGTAATATCCCAGCGGAAAGCTTCGAAGTTTATGGAGTGGCACTTGCGCTTATTGCTCAAGCCTTTGTTGGTAAGAAGCCTCATCACATTCAAGATGCTGATAACCTATTCCAGAAACTTCAGCAATCCAAAGTAACAGCTGTAGGACATACTGTCGAAACCTATAGTGAGGTAGACTTTGCTTTGGAGAGGGGTCTCTGTTCACTTCTTATCGGGGATCTTGATGAGTGTCGCTCATGGTTGGGCCTAGACAATGATAATTCACCATATAGAAATCCATCTGTTGTAGAATTTGTCTTGGAGAACTCAAAGGCCGAAGATGAAAATGATCTTCCTGGACTTTGTAAGCTATTGGAGACATGGTTGATGGAGGTGGTATTCCCCAGATTTAGAGACACCAAAGATATAGAGTTCAGACTTGGAGATTACTATGACGATCCTACAGTCTTGAGATACCTAGAGAGGCTGGACGGAACTAATGGTTCGCCCTTAGCTGCTGCTGCTGCCATTGTGAATATTGGAGCTGAGGCTACCGCAGTTCTTGGTAATTTTAAGGCAAGTGCCATTCAGGCATTGCAGAAGGTGTTTCCTCCGGGTCACAGGGATGAGAATCTTACACCTCAAGAAGATAATGAAATGAATTATGCGTTTCTTCCTGTGGAAAATGGAGAGCCTCTGGAAGAATCTGATGGAGATGAATCTGTCCATGTGCCTGAGGTTTCTGGAAGAAATGGTTCTGTTGGAATACGTGAAGAAGAATTGATGACTGACAAAATCAAAGACGCAACTGTTAAGATTATGTGTGCTGGTGTGGTAATTGGACTGACAACGTTGATTGGATTGAGGTATTTACCCGCTAGGAGGGGCTCGTCCAACCTGCATAAAGAACTTAGCACAGCGACTGCATCTGATGTCACGAGTGCAGGTATGATTTTAACCATTTATTAGAGTATTAATAAAATGATTCACAAAGCCTTATTTCCATCAACTAAGTTATGAGACATGAAAATATCTATATTTTGGCATTTTCCACTTCAATATGCTTGATGACATGTTATTTCACTCAACGTAAAAGCCCCTGGTAGAATCTTTCAATAGCCGGTAGTGCAGGGATACTTCTTCCTTCGAATCGGTCCATTTCACTTCGTAAGCTTGCCACTTTATGCTTGATGCAAGGGGATGAAAATTAATTCGTATAACCATGCCAGGGCTACCAGGAGATGAAAAATCTGCAGAGGAAATACCAAAAATGGATGCAAGAATAGCTGAAGGTCTTGTTCGCAAATGGCAGAACATAAAATCTCAGGCTTTCGGGCCTAATCATTCTCTGGAAAAATTATCTGAGGTAGGGAATTCTTTAGTTTTTGTGGATGAATAACGATGTCATTGAGCTAGTCACCAGTTTTGATGCATGTCCTGACATTGTTAAAACTGCCAGGTTTTGGATGGTGAGATGTTGAAGATATGGACAGATCGCGCAACCGAGATCGCACAGCTTAATTGGTCCTATGACTACACCCTGTTGAACTTGAGCATCGACAGTGTGACTGTATCGCTGGACGGGCAGCGTGCTGTGGTGGAAGCAACTCTTGAAGAGATGGCCCAGTTAACCGATGTGCTCCATCCGGAGCACAATGACTCAAACAGAAGAACGTATACCACGAGATACGAGATGTCTTGTTCGAGTTCTGGATGGAAGATCATTGAAGGAGCTGTCCTCCAATCATAAAAGAACGTTGTAAAGTACAATGACGCGGGTGTAAATGCTGTCTTGTTTTTCTATTTAAGTTTATTCCTTGTAATCTCGTAGTATCTCAGATCTTTTGTCCCAATCAAATGTGTTATTTCGTTGAAGTTTTACGCTCTCTGGGTGCGATTGGCAAGAGGAGAGCGTATAAATAAAGAATAGAGGAATAAGTTCACTGTTAAAATGTTTATGAGTTCGTATAATCAGTCAAAATCAGTACAAGTTTGTCGGCCTGGCTACAGAAATCGACCTTTCTTCTTAGCCCAGCCTGCCGTGTTTCTATGCCTGCAATTTACCTGCGCCATGGCCGTGGAGACCCCTCTTGCTCCTTTTTCTCGTCCTCCAGTTTGCCAGCATATATTAACAGTGGAAGGATTCAAACAACATAGTAGTAAAGCCACAGATTTCCGTTTAGTTTACAATGCGTATCTCCATTCGAGCTGAGCTGGAGCGAGACATCGTATTCTGTACAAAATATTTCTACGAGTTACCTTCGTCTAACTGGAGGCGAGTTCTATAGAGTAGACATGGAATCTCTCCAAATGGAGGATTTCTTGTTTATAGGGCGAGATAAGAAGCTGAGCCCGAGTATCTCCTTGGGAGCATCGAGTGGCGCAACAAGGCCAACCAGCTTCGCAACAAGGGTGGCGCTCTCCCGGATGTGCCCCGTGTCCATTGTGCTCGTCCATATCAAGTTTGCCAACTGCAGGCTCCTCTGCTTTGTGTTCAGCCTAATCCCCCACTTCTGGTAAAGCCTTTCTTTTTCCTTTGTCGATGCAAACCTCTTCGGCACTTTCTTGGCTAACATTTCTCTCTCTCGCTTAAGAGCCTTCATGCTGTTTCCGATTACAAATTAAGAAAAACAAAATATAAGTTGGAGATCTCCTGCTTTAATGCTGTTAGGCTTGAAGTATCAAAATTTCAAATGTGTATTTTGTGTGCTGTTGAAATGATCCAAAGTACTACCTTCCAGCCGCTGTGAGAGCTTGGCGGGATTTTAGATTGCTTCCTTCGGAGAAGGTGTCCTTGAGAATCGTCAACCTTCTTAGCTCTACCTCCAAGTAGAGAAAATCAGACGGATCACCTTTGTAAAGAATGAAGAAATGTGTCCTGTGAACCAATGGCACAAAGCAAGCCTCCCACAGCTCGATTATTAGTCCTCTCTGTGTCTCGAAATCAAGGCGCCAATTGGAAGGGGTTCTCAGAGGATGATCCGCACGAATGTGCCTCCTCCGTCCTGCTCCTCTTTGTGCCTGTCACCAATAACCACCCACAATTAAAGTTCGTGTCTTTGAAAGATATGTTTATTAATCACTAACCAACCAGAACCAGTAATCACCATTGTGTTAGAGAGAGAGAGGGAAGCTGTTACCTCGTACTTGTCTTCCTTGCGTTCATTGGCGAAATTGAGAACACTCATATTATCCTCTACGTCAGATTCCGAGACATTGGGGATAACTTTCCAAGCTACTGGAGCACTCAAAACTGACTCTAATTGAGAACTAGCTCTGGTTGAGCTTCCAATTTCGGAACCTTGCTTTGATTTATGAAATAGCTTCCAACGCAAACCTTTTGAACTTCTAGGCCAGCCTTCGGAAATGTCCTGTGCACTAGCTGCCTCTGTGCTTTCCTCCGCCTCTACGTGAATGCTCAAAAGAGAATCTTGATCAGAATCTCTTCTTGGTAACTTTCCGGTGGAGCCACCATGCTTGGATCGAGAGTTCTTCCCCAGATAGATTTTTTGTATCTTATGAGGAAATTCCTGCTGTGTAATAACCTCTGCATCGGGCTGATCTCTGGTGCCATCTGTGTCCATTGGAACACTCACAATAGAAGCTGGAAAATCTTCCCTAGATATACTTCTACTGTGGGCACCTTGCCTTGATCTGGAAGGTCTCCGTCGGAAACCTTCAGCAGGTGTTGTATTCTCGTTTAGTTCTGCCTCATACGACACAAAAGAAGATGGACTCATGATAACCGCTCTGCAGCTTCGACTTCTAGACAAATTCATACTTGCAGAGCTAGATTCAGAGGAAGAAGGGGATTGTTCCATTGGGGCAAGATTAACAAGGTTGTTAATTGTCCTTTGCATTTCCTGAATCTTTTTCCGCATCGCTTCATACTCTGCATTAACGTTATTCAACTCCCTATCTCCTGTCTGCTGCATGGGAGCTGTCGCAGCTAAGTTTCCTCCATTTTCTTTAGAACCGCTTAAAATCAAATCAAAAGTGTTCTGGTCCATGCTTGATATGCATCTAATTTCCTTGCAGCTATCTTCAGATTCCGCATGAGATGCTTCTGCAATAACTTCAGATTCTGCTTGATGTCCTTGTGCAATAACTTCAGCTTCTGCTGGGCATCTTTGTGCAATATCTTCAGGTTCTGCATGACACCTTTGCACAATATCTTCAGATTCCGCTGGTTGTGTATTATCTTCAGGTTCTGCCTGAGATCTTTGTGCAGTATCTTCACATTCTTCGTGCGATATTTGTGCAATATCTTCAAATTCTGCATGAGATCTTTCCACAACATGTGCAGACTCTGCAAGAGATTTTTCTGCAAGATCCTCCCAATCCGGCAATGAATCAAGCCCAACAAACTCTGGAGCACTACTGTCCAGCAGAAAATTTTCTTCAGAGCTTACAGAAAGCTGACGGTTGTGCTTGTAGGAACCAGTAAAACTAGGTCTATCAGTAATATCAGATGCGTTATCTGCTTTTACACCTGCGGACAATGACTCCTCAGCTCCTGAATTTTCACCTATTCTTGGAACTTGGCTGTCTCCAGTTGATTCTAGCAAATTCTGAACCCGAGATTGAGCAAGATCACGTTGCTGAGTCAGTTCTTTTATCTCTTTATTCATCTGCATAAATTTCACATTTAATAAGAAGATTAGGAAAGTAGAAAGTGGCATGTGCAATTATGTGTATGTATGAGTCACAGAAGTCCCAACACCTGTTCAAGCAGAAGTTCTTTCTCTTGCATTGACTTTGATGCTAAGCTCCTCAACGCGTCTTCCATTTTCGCTAATTCTTTCTGCAGTTGCTTTACCAACGCCTTATCTGATCTTACTACATTGACCTTTGCATTAGTAGTCACCTCTTTTGCACAACTTGCAAAGAAGAGTGTGTTTTTCGATTGCTCAACATGACTTCGTGCAGGGCTCATAGTGCAAATGATGGCTGTCCTGGCATTGCCTCCCAACGAGTTTTGCAGTATCCGTGTTAGCTTCGAATCTCTGTAAGGTACGTGCCCATTCTTTCCCTTGCTGCATCCATTCACGACATTAAATTGATTAAGAAAACATAAAGTGGTTAAACAAGGTTAGATAAGAAAAAAAAACGTTTTAATCGGCTGGTACAAACCACCCCAAAGGAGAAAATAATTTGCTACGTCATCAATAGACATGACGCGGAGTTTACATTTATACAAAACAAGCCCTTGGTGTATGGAAAAAATATTGAACCTTAATTTGCGAATTACAGTTCCCAGGGTCAGTAAGCTTCGATTTATGTGGCAACCTTCTTTCAATCTCGTACCAGCTGATAACGCTTGAGAAACACGCTCACTGCCCGCAAGATCAACAAAATTCTGAACAGAGAGTCAAATTTTTTAGTGCTAATAATACCATTGTATTAGATCCTCATGAAGGAAGTGTTTCTTTGCAAGGAAAGATAAATACTTCCTTACCACAGTAGCTGCAAGTGTGCTTGAACTTTGAATGCCAAGATATTCTTGAGCGGAACTTTCAATTGTCTGTTGAATCCGTCCATTCAACAAAAAAACATTTACAAACAAGTTCTTATGTCAAAATAGAAAGTAACCGCTTTAGTGATAAGCATACCAGTCGCAAAATCTGATGAGATCTTGAGCTAGTTTCGTTCAGAGAGGTCTCTCCGATCTTCCTCTGAGCTGCAACAATCAAGTACCAATTTAAGAATATATTTACCATCTGTGAAAACAAAATTAACACGTATTTCATGTAATCCTGCGAGACAAACATAATGCAAGTGTGTTTACCTTCACAGACGGAAAGGAGTTCCTCTAGGTGGTTCCGGTCTTTCAAAATCTCTTCTGAAAGTTTCTCGACAACAGTTCCTTTCTGTCGGAGTAGCATTATTAGAAAACCTTCTACACATTCATCTGAATTATACGCATTATAAAGAGAATACAGTATTCACCTCTGGATCGTCTAGGAGCCTGAGGTGAGCACTGTCGGAGCTGAGGAGGTCTCTGACAGCTTCGTTGTAGATCTCCATGGCAGAGAACTTCAACACAAATTCCCTATCACTATGCTGGAACACAACAAATTGGTTTAAGTTATGTCATGTCGGAGAATACATAGTCAGCTTGGTATAAATTGGAATTGAAGACAATATATGATCACTTACTTTCTCAATGTAATCATAGATGTCTGCAACTGCATAATCTGTGATTCCTTTCATAGTGTATGTTTTTCCACTGCTTGTTTGTCCATAGGCAAAAATGGTTGCTGAACACGTATATATCACCGAAACAAATGAGATTTTTGTCACACTTAAATATCTGAAAACGAGGATTAATAAGAAGACTACTCACAGTTGATGCCGTTGATGACCGAAAGCACAACCTCTTTAGCTCCCTCATTGTACACCTTCGTCGTGGGACAGTCCCACCCAAATACTCTGTCTATCCCCAAAGGATAGGGAAACAAAGTGAAAGGACATCAAAACAGATTCAAAGTTTTCGAATATAATAAAAACAAAGAAGAGAGAGTTGTTATTGACGTTCCAAAAAAATCATTTAGACTCTTCCCTACTTATTTTTCACATTGGGAGGAAGGCCAATACAGTTCTCTTTTCTTCCCTAGCAAGAAATATCAATTCTGGAGTGCTAATAACAACTCCTGAAAGAAAATTTTCAGTATTAAACAAGAATGGATATGCCTGTCGTATACCAAAACCATAAGCAGAGGGAGACATGGGGCGATCAGGATGGCTGTTGTTGTACATGATGGTGTTGTTCTTGACACACCAATCGGAAACATCGTTCTTGGCCTTCTCCTTGTCGTTCAATGGCCTCAGCCTAACAGAAACGAGGATTTTCTCCTCCACAGACATCGATGCCTCAACTTCTCCTCTTTTCCTACCGAAAACACAGGTTGCTTCGCGCACAAACAAAACCCGCAAAAGCGTCAAAATTCCC